TGTGTTAAATGATAGAACATGAGGCATGATGCCATATTTTAATGGCTGTAAAAAGAAAGATTATTTTATTTTAATGCATATTGTTGTTGTTGTTGTTGTTGTCTAAGGAAATTGCAAAGAAAAGCATCTGCACTTCTTTAAGTTACTTGAAGACGTTTCACCTCTCATCCGAGAAGCTTCTTCAGTTCTAAGGTCAAATGGTGGAGAGTCCCAGATTTAAACCCAAGCACGACATCCCGGTGCATTTCAGACCCAGCAACACACTCAGACAGAAACTGGTTCACCCGAAAGACAAAACGCCAAAACACAAACTTAACAATGTGGTGTTTGCTGTACAGTGCAGCGAAGAATGCCCAGACCTCTACATTGGAGAGACCAAACAGCCACTTCACAAGCGCATGGCACAACACAGAAGAGCCACCTCCACAGGACAAGACTCAGCAGTCCATCTGCATCTAGAGGTCAAAGGTCACTCTTTCGAGGATGCCAATGTTCACATTTTGGACAGAGAGGACAGATGGTTTGGAAGAGGAGTGAAAGAAGCCATTTATGTCCACTGTGAGCGACCATCTTTGAACAGAGGCGGGGCTTACGACACCAACTCTCTGCCATCTATAATCCAGTTTTGAGATCCTTCCCAGACGCCTTAACGCCCACTCACATCCTGGGCCATCTGACCTCAGGACATCACATGATAAGGTGGGGCCAGGTTTCACAATGAACACACCCGAAACCCTGGCTGATTGGGACCCACACCCAGTTTCCCACCTTGGCTCAGGCGATTAGAGGATCATCAGGGGGTCCTTTTGTCCCTCTGTGGGGGGAAACTCCCACTAGGTTTAAATCTGGGACTCTCCACCATTTGACCTTAGAACTGAAGAAGCTTCTCAGATGAAGGTGAAACGTCTTCAAGCAACTTAAAGAAGTCCAGACGCTTTTCTTTGCAAGCTCCTTTGACTACGATGACCTGGATGACTGAGAACCTTCACAGACATGCTGTTGTTGTTGTTACTATTTGGTGTTTAAATTTTATTTGTCTATAACAGATGAGACCGAATTGAGGACCTGATGTGTTTGATTTCTGATAAAGACTCTCAAATTTTCTTTTTTTTTTGTTACTCTCTTTTTATTAAACAACCTATATAAACACAAATAATCCAAAATAAACATAGAATCAAAAACAGACGTAGAATAAAAAAAAAAAAAAAGAAAAAAAAACCCAGACGGGTGTACCCTCTAGTGTGTATGTACTCACACGCACATATTCACTCACACACCCATATTCTTAAGCATACATACACATACCTACTTACATATGTGTTCACTTGTAGTCTCATACATACTAACATATACATATAAACACATAACGATTCAGAAATGTGGCATATATAGTTACAGAGATTCAAACCAGATCGGGTCTCCTTAACCGGATGTAGTGTTTCCATTTACCCCAAATTTCACTAAATATATCAAACTGGAGTCTTTTAATGAAGGTAATTCTTTCCATTTTAAACATCCCATGTACAGTCTCATGCCAATCACCCAGTGATGGAATTTTCGCACTAAGCCATTTCTTGGTAATAATTTTACGGGCAGCCAAACTCAGAATACCATACAACTGCTTAGACATTTTATCTACATTTACTGAGTATAAATATCCAAACAAAAGTTCGTCCCAATTAAAGGGAAGCTGCATACCAAAATTAATCTGCAACTCAGAGTGGATCAATACCCAAAAAATGTTGATCCTTGGGCAAGACCAGAACAGATGGAAATGTTTTACTCCTTGGGCCCCACAATTTCTCCAGCAATTAGAGTGATTGAAGTAATATTTACTTTGTGCAGGGGTAATAAAAAACCTACAGATACTCTTCCAACCGTAACATCTCCATGTATTAGAACTAGAAATTCTCCACTGAAAAGCGCACTGCTCATACCAAATGTTATCTGGTATTGCTATATTTGTTTCATTTTCCCATTTTTTTTTTTGATGTAGGTAGTATTCCACTTCTTAACCTCTTGTATACCCTTGTACAATCTTGAAATCACCTTAAGGCCTGTGTCAGCCTGATAAGCCTTGACAAATATACTCAGAACAGGTAAAGAAAAAAGATCTGTTCTCTTAGGTATAAAATTATATAGATGATGATTATATGATGATTATATGATGCCTAATTTGTAAGAACCTAAAAAAGTCCGTTTTACTTAACTGGTATTGAACTTTTATTGATTGGAAGTCCCTAAGAATTCCCTTATCGTAAAACATACAATATGCCGTTAAACCTTGTCCAGACCATTTTTTATATCTTACGTCTAATTCATTAGGTAAAAAAATCACTGTCAAAAGCGCACCATCTTAAAATCCTAACCTCTTCAATCCAATCATTCTTATTAAGAAATTGTAACCAGAGTTTTAAAGGCAGGTTAATCCATTGGTTTCCTTGATGAATTTGTTTTTTAATAAGTGTCACATCCCCTAGAATTGCCTGAATTGGTGAATCTTTTAAGGTCACTGTTTCTAGTTCTAGTTCTTTCCATCTCGCTTGATAATCTACATTACACCAACACACTAATGTCCTCAATTGAGCAGAAATATAATAGTCTTTCAAACATGGGAACCCCAACCCTCCTTTGTCTTTAGCCAACTGAATAGTTTGGTACTTAATCCGTGGTTTTTTCCCCTGCCATATAAACCTAGAGATTATTTTGTCCCATTCCCGAAATTGTTTGTCAGTTATTTCTACAGGGAGTGTTTGGAATAGGTAGAGCATCCTGGGCAAGATATTCATTTTAACTGTATCTATACGTGATTCAAAATTTAAAAATGGTAATAAATTCCATCTTTTAATATCCTCATTTATTTTATAACTTAAAGGATTAAAGTTTGCATTGTATATCTTAGACAGATCTTTAGTAATATTTACTCCAAGATACTTCATCTGCTCCGTCTCCCATTTCAAATTGGCTTTAGCCTTAATTTCATAATTGGGCTCATAATTAAAAGTTAATATCTGAGTCTTCGATATATTTAGTTTATAACCTGATATTGAACTAAAGATCTCCAGAAGTGACAATAGTTTGGGAAGAGTAGTGTTTGGATTTGTCAAATAAATCAAAATATCGTCAGCAAACAAGGAAATCTTGTGCTCTCGACCCCTAATCTTGACTCCAGTGATAGTATTGCTTTGTGTCACCCTTTGACTCAGGGCCTCTATGAAGAGAGCGAAGAGTGAGGGGCTTAGAGGACAACCCTGACGTGTCCCTCTCTGTAGGTTAAAAACATTCGAAAGCGCCCCGTTAACTTTAATTCTTGCCCTTGGTGATTTATATAATGCTTGTATAATCCTGATAAACGATTGATGGAATCCGAATTTACCCATGTATAAAAATTCCCAATTAACCCGATCAAAGGCCTTTTCTGCATCTAAGCTCATAAGGGCCATCTGAATTTTATTTTTTCTTAACATAATCAATAACGTGTAGTGTTCGGCGAACATTATCTTGTGTTTGTCGAGACTCTCAAATTTTCATCAGAACCTGTTCATAAGAGCTTACAGTCAAGTCATCTTTATTTAAATAGCACATTTAAAGGACATCTGTCTGCCAAAATGCTCAACAGAGGGATAATATAATCAAATAAAAAGAATTGAAATCGATAAGATGAAAACATATACCATAACAGTATATAGCTCACTGGCCACTTAATTAGTTACACCTTGATAGTTCCTGTTAGGACCACTTTTTTTGCTTTCAGTGCTTCATTAATTCTTTGTGGCATAGATTCAACAAGGTGCTGGAAGGTCCTCACTTCCTCAGAGATTTTGGTCCAGAGAGACATTATTAGACATTATAGCATCACAAAGTTGCTCCAGATTTGTCAGCTCTACATCCATGATTGAAATCTCATGTACCACCACGTCCCGATGGTGCTCCACTGGACTGAGATCTGGTGACTGTGGAGGTCAGTCAGGCTGTGGCATGTCAGGCATGTCAATGATCCTCAGTTGGTACTAAAGCACCAAAAGTCTGACAAGAATCTGCTCACTATGACACCTCCACATCCGGTATAAGCTGTTTGTAGGCAGGTTAGAACCATGCTTTCATGCTGTTAACACCAAACTCTAATTCTACCTTCCAAATGTTGCACCGGAAATGAAGACTCATCAGACCAGGCAAGATGTTTTCCAATTTTCTTTAGTGCCGTTTAGGTGAGCCTGTGTGGTTTTCAGTGTCCACTTTGCATTCTTACCTGCTGCTGTAGCTCATCTGCTTTAAGGCTTGATTCACATACTTTGGTTGTAATTAGTGGTTATTATATCTTATCATCTTCTGACCTCTGGCAGCAACGAGGCATTTTCAAACAGACAACTGCTTCTCACTGAATATTTTCTCTGTGTATCAGACAGAGTGAATGTAAGATAAATGCTTGGATTGAGAATTTGGAAACTGAAATCTCCGTGGAGGATTGGAAACCAGGTTGTGCTGTAATTCTGTGAAAACACATTTCAGACTTGCATGCTAACATTATTTAATGGAAATATATGGAACTCCTGTCAGATTCAATTATCTAAAAACGTCATATCTTTTTAAACATGGACCCAAATGGCATGTTGTAATTATCCGTTATGTGCACTGAGTTTATGAAGTTTTCAGTGATTCAGCACGATGTGCGTCATGTTCAGCGCGTCGCCCTCTGTGGGTCTATGACCAATCTGTGGCTCTCCATAAAATCTGTCCAAAGTTTTGTTCCAACTAAAAGTTTAAGGCCATGAAACAAAACTTTAAGCTTTGTTAATCGATTTCTTTTACATTAATCTCTTGGTTAAAACGTTCAGAGAAATTCATGTGATTCAACTTATCAAATGTAAATGAATAAAATCTGTTTAAACTGTTACAAAGAGCTGGATTTAAGACCTTAAATGAACATTTTAAGTCTAACAGATTACAAATGAAAACCTTTGTTATTTTTTTTTTAAAAGTGATTGTTTTTGTCTCTACAGGCCAAGATCTACTTTTCTTTTCCTGGTGAGCTGCTGATGAGGATGCTGAAGATGCTCATCCTTCCTCTCATCACGTCCAGGTGGGTCAAAGTACCGACACACAGTATGACAAGGAAAATCACTGTAATCAGAACCATGAGGCTTTGCAACAGTCTGCATTCTGTAGGGTGCAGTTAGATTTCCTTAAAGTGGACTGTTTTGTATTCTTGTACTAGAGTAGCTTTGTATGATTCAAATAATCCATCCAGTCATGCACATGGGCTGTGAGAAATAGTCCCAATCAAATAATTATTTTTTATGCTGGGCCTTAGTGCAGACCCTAAGTTCACCCTCTGTCTGAAACATTGGAAATAAGCTATTTTAGCTCCTCCCCCTTGAATATAACTTTCTTCTGATAAGATGCTCCTCTCAAACGTCTTCAACCCAAAGGTTGAAGAAGCCGGTTAGTGGAGCTTCTCTGTTCACAACCATAGATGCACATTTAAGGATGCGACCTTTAGAACAGTCTGAAGCCTGAGTTTGTGGCTTGCAGGGATTACTTGTACAGAGGCTGATCTCATTATTTGAAACTCTGGCCATATGAACCCGTGAGAAGAGAAAAGCCCCCTATAGAACTCTTAGATTTAGAAGGCTGTGATGTTAAAGCTCTTGTTTTAACAAAAGCACCTTAAAGGATCATCCCACTTCATTTGAGCTTGCTGTATTTCCTGTGTGTTGTTTTTCTGCAGGTCAGCTTTGCGCTCCTCAGAGAGTGTATCTATGACGTTAAACATGAACTGTGCCAGTTGTGTTAAACTATTATTGTTGTTGTTATTATTATTACAGTTATTTCAGTTAAACATGCAGTACTTTACCTGTTTGTTAGGAACAGTCCAGTTGGCCTTCTAATTGAGACTAAATCTACCAGCAGGTGTTTACAGTGGGACCACATTTTTGTCTGTGTGTTACCACATATGTTTCCTCACCCACATTATTAAAGAAAATCCATAAATTATGTGTATAAAAATATCAAACAAAGGCATATTAACAGCATATTTATTTGGAAAGTTTTGCCTCGAGATACTGATTCTCACACTTATGACACTTATAACATAAATCAAAGTCCAGTCCAATGACAGGACTCGTGGACTTTATTCATATGAGTGATTTAAAGATTCTCCTCCATAAATTTTCAACTAGAAGGGTAAATCCTCTAAAAGAAAAACATGGATAGCTCCACATATTTGACTTGACACAGACTTTCATGGCCGTCCTCAAACAACCTCAGTGTGATTTGTGTCTCCTCCCAGCATCAAATCTACGCAATAAGACCACCCACAAAAATAACTGTGTCCATGGCTTTCTATCAGTAACATTTCAGTCTTTTCTTAAGTAGTAAGTACAGAGTAGTTTTCTAACAGCAGAACAGGATTCTGCTGTTAGATATGTCCCCAAACTGGTTTTAAAACAAATAGTCTGAAGAAGCAGAGATCTGTTATAGATTTTCTTATTCAGTACCTCTCAGTCAGCACTATGGCGCAGTTGTGTATCCTCTCTGTTGATGGATCCAGACTATTTTCTAAATCCCCCTCTGTCCTTGCCTTGCTGTGCAGTTTAATGTCGGGTCTATCATCGATGGAGTCGAAGGCATGTTGCCGAATGGGTGTCCTCACCGTCACATACTACCTCTGGACCACCTTCATCGCTGTAGTGGTCGGCATCTTTCTCGTGATCATCATCAAACCAGGTGTGGGCACAGAGATGGAGAGCAACCGGCTGGGTGGCGGGCCTGTCATGACCTCAGCTGATGCCCTCCTCGACCTCATCAGGTGTGACAGGTCAAAAGTCAGCTGGAGACTCTGGAAGGGTCCCTGCCAGTTATTTGTGTGGTGATAATTGTTCTCTGTGTTTGAAAGAGCAAACTGTAAAAGAAAAAGTGAAAGTAAATGCTAAAAAAAAGGAAGGAAGGAAGAGGACCCCAATGCAGGACTTGTGACACAGGCTGAACCTAAAACACAGCTTTTATTAGCTGGCAACTGACTGGTTAATAAAACACAATGACAGAGCAGGGCAGGAGCAAACTGACTGAGAAACTAGGTCTAGTGGAGAAACATACAGACAGATGAGCACACAGCATAAGGGATAAGAGAGGAAACAGCAAAGAACAGAAGCAGACTGAGGGTTCAAATACACATGAGGAGACTAGGACAGAGTGGACACGGCTGGGGAACACAGCACAACAAAATCAAAATAACAAGCCAGAGGAAGCAAAAACTGAACGTAACACATGAACGTACAAACTTAGTAAAAAAGGGAAATCAGACTACGGTGGAGATAGGACACAGAGAGACGGGACGGACACAGGGACAAAACTGGGGAGACAGAAAAAGGATCAATAAATCAGGAATCAGGAAACTGACAGCACAAAAACCAAGGTCATCGTAAGTCCAGGAATGTGAAAATAACACTATAACCAGAAGACTATAATGCACAGAATACAGAACAAAAATACTGTTATGGCAAATGCAGATGGACGCAGGGAGCAGAGTTGTGGTGAAGACAGTTTATTTACTGTGATGAGGAGGTTTTACAAGTATGTACAATAGCGTATGAATGGGGACGCGGAGCCAGGACGTGCAGGTGACGGAAACACACACAGGTAGTGCCCTCGATTTGGTACTGTTTATAAGCCTCCAGACGGAAACAAACCAGACGAGGCGAAATCCTGGGGAGGAAACAAAACTCCTGACAGTCACCAGAAATAATCCAACGGCTCCAGCAGGCAGGGGCAGGATTACAGACTCCAAAAACGTCAATACTCCGACACTAGTCTTCTGTCGGGAACACTTCTGAAGAATGCAGCTGACGAGTAACAGGTGTGCCAGGTTCAGTGACTCAAACACCACATAACCAGAACCCAACTCCTAACAAATACAAGATTATCAAAAATACAAACGCTGTATTCAGTGTGCTGAATCTCATTCTGTTTTGCTGTGTAGTTCGTAAAAAGTTTCACACTTAACTTGGAGAATGTGCAGAAACTAAATGTGCCAGGCTTTTCCTCTAAACAACAACAAAATTTCCATGAACCTCGGTTGTGCTGGTTTGGAGGAAAACACATCAAAAGGATAATTCTGGTTTATTTCACTTTGGTACATGTCCTGTAATTGTGCTTGTTGCATCTCTGTGGCCTCTGTGAGATTCAGGGAAATGAGGATTGGTGCACAGCAGCATAGAAACGTGCACACAGCTTTAGTTTGTTTTGGGTATTAGAGATGCACATCCACTCTGACATGTTCAGCTGAACTGAGGTCAACAAAACGTAGAAAACCAACACACACTCTCTCTTCTTCTCTCACACACACAAATCCAATTAGAGTGCAGGGCTGATCAGTATATTTTTAGTAATCCTGCAGGGATAAGTGATAGATTAACCAAGTCAGTGGCGGTGCATGATCTCTGCTGTGGCACGTTGGCAGACCAAGCTCTCGTGCCATGTTTGAAAATCACTCCCATGTTGGAAGGATTCGTTGGATTGTTTACCTCCTGAGGTGATGAACCCCTCCCAGCAAACGGTGCAGACAGTCATCCTGTAGAAGAGCCACCCAAGTCGTGCTGCTAAATAAAATTTATTCCAAAATAAAAAATTAATAAGAACAAAAGAACAACATGGAGGAATCTTAGGCTCCTCCTATGCAGAAGAGGCAGCGGGTGGGAGGAGTTTGTTTGTTTGTTTGTTTAAAGCTAACGATGTAATTTGTTTATCACAGAAACATGGTTCCTTCCAATCTAATTGAGGCCACATTTCAACAGGTAAGACAACAGAATCGTGTTGTTTCTTTAATGCTACAAGCTTGAATCCTGTAACTAAATATGATTTTCTTTCTTCAGTACAAAACAGACCTGATTCCCATCCTCAAAGTCCCAACCAAAACAATTCAGCCCAACTTTGTCTATGTGATCCCTGATGACAATGACCCCAAAGGGCGCATGGTGTACCTCGAGCTGACTCCTCCTCCAGATGTCATATACAAGACAAGTCCAGGCAGCAGCCAGCAGATGAATGTCCTTGGCATCGTTATCTTCTCTGCAACTATGGGTGAGTGGGATCGGGCTTGGTAACATCGTAAATTTGGAAACCTCATCATTAGCGTTTTAACTGCCAACATGTTGGTTTTTGTAACCAGAAATGACCTGATCAGAAATGACCTGTTCATTTCTTTTTGGACTCCACTAGAATATTGTTTGAATGATTGACAGTTAAAAATAATCTTTATTCATACTTCTATAGTGTAGCCCTTAAGTTCATCCACCTTGTGAAACAAGCTTTTCCTGCTGTGAGGCCCTTTAACTCTTTTCTGCTTGAAAGCCTACTAAGAGTAACCCTTGAATCTTTTTTTCTAAACTGAGCAGTTTCTGTCATATCTCAGGCACAGAAGCCTGAGATATGACAGAAACTGCTATTTTGTTATATAACAAACTAATGTTATAAGATATTCTCTTTATATGACATTATATGGGTCCCAGAACTGAAAAAAACTGTCTGAAACTGAATAATCAGAGCACGGTGAAGTCTATTCTTTTGGCTTGGAGAGATTACTTCTTTTTTAATATGTGCATGAGCACGAGCAAGTGTGACAGACAATAAGGAAAACACAATAGTTCCACTTTCAGGTTGTGTGATGAACCAGTCAAGACCAATTTTTCTTAATTTTGATTAGATCAAATCAAATAAAATCACTTTTATCGTCACATCACATGTGCAGATACACTGGTACAGCACATGTGAGTGAAATTCTTGTGTGCGAGCTTCACAAGCAACAGAGTTGTGCAAAATACAATAATGTAAAACAAGCAAAATATAAGAATGGCTACATCTGAAACTAATAAATATATGTACAATATATAATAGTACTGGATGTGTATACAAAATGTGTTTTTCTACGTGTGTGTGTGTGTGTGTGTGTGTGTGTGTATACATATTTTACAAATTAAATAGAGTAAACAATAAAATAAAATATATAAAAAATATGCAGAGTTGGTGGCACGGTGGTTAGCACTGTTGCCGCACAGCAAGAAGGTCCAGAGTTCAATTCCACCATCAGGCCGGGGTCTTTCTGTGTGGAGTTTGCATGTTCTCCCCGTGTTTGCGTGGGTTCCCTCCGGGTACTCCGGCTTCCTCCCACCGTCCAAAGACATGCAGCTTGTGGGGATAGGTTAATTGGATAATCCAAATTGCCACTAGGTGTGAATGTGAGTGTGAATGGTTGTTTGTCCCTGTGTGTTGGCCCTGCGACAGACTGGCGACCTGTCCAGGGTGTACCCCGCCTCTCGCCCTATGACAGCTGGGATAGGCTCCAGCGCCCCCCGCGACCCTGAAAAGGATAAGCGGAAGTGAATGGACGGATATACAGAGTTGGTTGAGACGTGCAAAACAGTGGCATTACTGTACAGTATGTAGTGCATAATGTTGAAGTTCCAGTAGTGAAGCTGAGGTGTCTATGACGTGTTCAGCAGTCTGATGGCCTGGTGGAAGAAGCTGTCTCTCAGTCTGCTGGTTCGGGACCGGATGCTGCAGAACCTCCTTCCTGATGGAAGCAGTCTGAACAGTTTATGGCTGGGGTGACTGGAGTCCTTGATGATCCTTCCTGGTTTCCTCAGGCACCGCTTCCTGTAGATGTCTTGGGGGGAGGGACGCTTACCTCCAATTATCCGTTCAGAGCACCGCACTACTCGCTGGAGAGCTTTGCAGTTGTAAGCGGTGCTGTTGCCATACCAGGTGGTGATGCATCCAGTGAGGATGCTCTCAATGGCACAGCGATAGAAGGTCCTGAGGATGCGGGGGCTCATGCCAAATCTTTTCAGACTCCTGAGAAAGAAGAGGCGCTGCTGCGCCTTCTTCACTGTTTTGTTTGTGTGTACTGACCACGTAAGATCCTCAGCCAGATGTACACCAAGAAACCGGAAGCTGCTCACTCTCTCCACAGCAGCGCCGTTGATGGTGATGGGGGTGTAGATAGATTAGATAAAACTATATTAATCCCTCAAGTGGGTTCCTCCGGGAAATTCGGTTTCCAATAGCACAGCACCAACAGAAGTTACAGAGTGTGAGCAGAAATATACCATATATACACATATATAAATACAGAGACATATATATGCATATACAGAGTATACAAAAGGGATAAATAGAATAAATAGGAATAAGAATACAAGGGAATTGCACATTTCAAGTATTGAAGTCTATTGCATTGTTGGATATTAATAATAATGGATTGGATTTATATAACGCTTTTCAAGGCACCCAAAGCGCTTTACAATGCCACTATTCATTCACTCTCGCATTCCCTCACTGGTGGAGGCAGCTACGGTTGTAGCCACAGAAGCGAGGCTGCCATATCGCGCCATCAGCCCTTCTGGCCAACACCAGTAGGCGGTAGGTGAAGTGTGAAGTGTCTTGCCCAAGGACACAACGACCGAGAGTACGGGGATCGAACCGGCGACCTTCTGGTTACAGATGCGCTTCCCAACCCCCTGAGCCACGGTCACCCCATTAACAAAAAGTATTTCACAGTGAAAGGCACTACAGCTTAGTTGTTCCCCTCCTTTGTCCTCCTGTTTCCCCTCCCTCTCCCCTCCAGAGAGGAGTTAAACAGTCTGATGGCGTGTGGGACAAAGGAGTTTTTAAGTCTGTTAGTTCTTGTCTTGGGGAGAAGCAACCTGTCACTGAACAGACTCTTCTGGTTGTTAATGGCCGTGTGCAGAGGATGCCCAGCATTGTCCATAATGTCCAGCAGCTTCTTTAGTGTCCTTTTCTCTGCCACTGTCACCAGAGTGTCCAGCTTCATGCCGACCACAGAGCCAGCCTTCCTGATCAGTTTCTCCAGCCTGCATGAGTCCTTCTTTGCTGTGCTGCTCCCCCAGCACACCACAGCATAGAAAAGTACTCCAGCAACCACCGACTGGTAAAACATCCTCAGGAGCTTCCTGCAGATGTTAAAAGACCTCAGCCTCCTGAGGAAGTACAGTCGGCTTTGGGCTTTTTTGTACAGGTGCAAAAAACAGCCCGAGGTACTTGTACTTGTTGACCACCTCCACCTCCTCCCCCTCTGAACTGGCAGTGGCCCTGCTCTGGACCTCCCGAAGTCCACACCTAAGTCTTTGAGGTGTTGAGTTGCAGGTGGTTTGTGTGACTCCATGTGACGAAGTTCCTCACCACACTGCTGTACTCCTCTTTCCGATCATCCCAGATACACCCCATGATGGCCGTGTCATCTGCAAACTTCTGAATGTGGCATAATTCAGAGTTGGTGTGTCATAGTGCCAGGAAGGGGGGGAAGCGAGGGAGGTAGGAGAGTGGGGAGAGGGCTCTGTAGGTAAAGGTGAGGGTGGGGGGGTTGTGTGCTGGTCAAACCTGTTGAAGAAGTTGTTGAGTTCGTTTGCCTTCTCCACAGTCTGTGATGGTTTTCCCACCATTCCAGACCTCCCTCATTTATGGGCAAAGTCTGTGATAACATTTACAGAGCTGAAGCTTGCATAGAAACGCAAGCATAATCAGTGTTTATGTGTGCTGCAGGTTTGTTGCTGGGCAGGATGGGAGAGCGAGGAGTCCCACTGATCAATGTCTGTCAGTGCATCAACGAGTGTGTCATGAAGATCATCAACGCTGCTGTTTGGTGAGATGAAAACTCAGAGTACAGTCATACAGCTAGGGGTCTGTTTACCCCCACAATAACTTCAAATTGACAAACTGATGTGCAGACTCTCAGTTTGAATTTGAGGGGTTGAACAATGCCATGCAGAGCCTATGTTACAATTGCAGCTTTCTACACCTGTGTTTGAATCAAAAGTGCATGGTTGGCTTTGTAAATGAGCCATGAAAGCTTGTAGTGACTGATTCATTTGACTGTACTGGTATTCACATTACTGAAAATGAATCTCACTATCCCAACAAAGGTGAGCTTAATTAAACTAAACCACAAAAACAAATCCCACTGGGTGGAAAATAGTCACAACAACACGCATTGTGTATATTTTCTTTATTATATTCTTAACTAGCTGTGTTTTTGTGGTCATATGTGTCAACTGTCAAGACAAATACCAAATACGAGGAGATTTAAAACTGTAGCAAGGCTTTAAAACCTTAACGCTCAACACAAACAGATGCAGCTCTACAGGTTTTATTCTGTATGCATGTATACACCTAAGTCTGAATCAACCCTCAAAGAATGCTACTGTTGGTGAGAGCACCCGTAACCAGAACCATTCTCACCAACAGTACAGGACTTCTAAGGAATGATCAAAAAATGGGAGAAGAACAGTCACGAGGTTCCTGAGAAGATGATCTTAAATGGGAGAGGCTGTTTTTTTTCTACATTTTTTAAATTGAAAAATATTTTGCGAGTTATTTTAATATAGTAACTCTTTCTTGCAAAACCCGATCAAATTTTCTAAAATAATGCTCAGTGGACTTCAAGAAATCTATGTTCATAATTCTAAACAAACTAATGATATCTGAACTCCACTCAAGAACAAGGTATATATGAAAAATATGTGAAATGAACATGAAAGGAATGAATGTAAAACATTTAAGTTTTGCCTTAAGCTTCAGAGACAAACTTCACGTTTAGCTCTTATAGGATTCATAATGATGTTCTGTTCTTCCAGGTATTTTCCATTTGGGATTATCTTTTTGGTGGCGGGGAAGATCCTGGACATGCAGGATCCGAGCACACTGGGGAAGAAGTTGGGCTGGTACGGTGTTACTGTGCTCACCGGGCTCTTTGTTCATGGACTTGTCCTCCTTCCTCTCTTCTACTTCCTTCTCACCAGGAAGAACCCCTTCAGCTATATCCGTGGCCTCCTGCAGGCCTTGGTCATCGCCCTGGCAACCTCCTCCAGGTCAGCCCTACTTTAACCTGCTTCCTACGCTTCAGTTAGTTAGTCCTGGAAAGGTTCATAGCAAATATGCTAAACGCTAACTGAGGAGTGAAGATACGAAACAGAATATGGGCCTATTAAGCTTTTGTTTGAATGCCACCTGTCCACAGCTCTGCCACACTGCCTATCACCATGAAGTGTTTGCTGGAAAACTGTCATGTGGACCGGCAGATCGCTCGTTTTGTTCTCCCAGTGGGTGCCACTATCAACATGGATGGGACAGCTCTCTATGAGGCAGTGGCAGCCATCTTTATTGCTCAGGTTAATGACTACGAGCTGGACTTTGGCCAATTGGTCACCATCAGGTAAAATGAGACAAACAGTTACTTTCACTTTATCTGTACAGAACCAGTCTGTGTGCATGGGAGACACAGATTATACTCTCCTGTAGCCAGTGGAGCCTTTTAAAACTTTATGAAAATACATAATAAACATTGAAGAAGCCTGCTGTCTGCTCATGTTCTTTCAGTTTTGATCTCTAACTCTCCTCATGTCTCCCCGTCTTCCAGTATCACAGCTACAGCCGCCAGTATTGGAGCAGCTGGGATTCCTCAGGCTGGTCTGGTTACCATGGTAATCGTACTCACATCAGTAGGCCTGCCACCAGATGACATCACACTAATCGTAGCCATTGATTGGATCCTGTAAGTACTGATTATGGAAAATCACAGGTTTCAAAGGATGGAATCAGTCCTTGGTGAGGTGGTCTTGTGGCATTTTGTCTTTCCTTCTCTCTGCAGTGACAGGTTTCGTACCATGATCAACGTTCTTGGTGACGCCCTTGCAGCAGGAATCATTGCGCACCTCTGTCGGAAAGACTTTCCCCTGAGCACAGCAGGAAAGGTAAAACCATGATCGATTACAGCTGGTAGTTTCTATTTGCCAGCATGAAAGGATTTGCTTGACAGCACTCTTTGAATTGACCGATGCTATGAACAATGGCAAAGTATCACTCCTCTTGGAAGAATTGGTCAGTCCAGTGAGTGCTGTCCAGCAAAAACTACAAATCATGTTTATCATGTGAGAAGTTTGTAGACCTTGGCCTTGTCAAGTCAAAAGACACTGTCGAACATTCAGCACCTCTTATTAAAGTATTTAAGTGATCATATGTACATATATCAGGCTGGGCCTGTTTCTTCTTGTACTGGCCTAATGTTAGAGATAATCCAAGGCTGAAAGATGGATGCTGTACAAGCATCCCATTCTGGAAAAAGAACAGTTCAAAAAATTAACAGAAAGCCCAAAATGACCATGAAATTTGTTCCTGTGATTAGCGGATGTAAACCTTTGACCACAACTGTATATTAGTATGATCCTGTTTCTAAAAAAGATTAATTTAAAAAGAAATGCTGTGTAATAGGGTAATATAACAGAACGTAGTGATGTGCAAACTGTTTAGAGTTTGTTTTGAATAGAAAATACTTAAAAACTCCCAACAGCAAATTCACTCAAATCAGCAAATTCAAAAACATTTGTGTCTCATCGTTGTATTTATGGGACTTTTACCTTTATTAGAGGGTTTGGGACATGTTCCATTTATATGACTGTCTTTATATGACCAACTTTACTGACCACATATCTCTGTATGTACCTGATGACTATAAACCTGAGCCTGTGACCTGTTTCTTCATTCATGTCTATGGACATAATACGATTACAGCAGTAGGTGTGTTCAGATTGGACCAACAACTACAAAGGATTAAAGCTCCTACTGTCATCCTGAGCCTCAGACTAGCTCCTCCCATATCTACTGAACTCAGTGCGCCATGTTGCCAGGAAGAACAGTCTGTTAATAGCACACCAGAAGCTGTTTCTGTCAACTTACCAGCACTGATCAACATTTCTTGAGTTGTTTTGTTGCTTCAAACACCTCTTTGTGAGAAGGCAGATGTTCTTTTCTGTGTTCTGAATGAAGTTGAAGTTAGTTAATCTAGATTAGCAATGAAACTCAAAGCAGGGGCTAACTGGTCGTAGCTAGTTTGCTGATTAAGCATGCTGATCTTGCTGCAGTAAGAGGCTAACATGTTTTTGCACTTCATCTGCAGCCTGCGCCGTCCTATGGGACGCAGACTCCGCACAAAAACTCCAACACGGTCGATGTGCCAATGACGGAGATGCACACACACAAAGACTGCACGTTCGATTTGACGGGTGACTCGGTGAGCCAGATGAATGCACACACAGTCTACTACAACATCTGCCAGGTGTGAATGGAGAGAGTGGAGCAACTCACCTTGCAAAGGTCCAACTGGGTCTGTGAGACCTCATAGTGCCATCTGAACAGGATTGTTAAGAAGAGATTAATTCTATACAGGAACCTCCTTCTTGGTGTCAGCTTGATTAAACTAACTTGAGGTGGAGGTGGCCAAAACTGGACTGCTTATTTCGGAGCTTCTCTTGCTCATTAAGGACAAGAAATGTGTGAGGTAACACATTTCAGCAGCCTCTATTGTTCTCATTTTCAGCACTCCAGCAACCCCTCAACTCATCTGTTGTCTCAAAAAAGCTCCTGTCTCTTTCAGGCCTGGGCATAAGCCCACATTCATCTGATTAGGCACTTTCTGGAAGCCTGCAGAGGGGCAGCACCCAGTGCTCATGAACAGCACAGAGCAGTCTGAAGCTGGCACTTTTTGTTCACTGGGATTACTTTTACATTTAATAACATCAGAGACTGCAGCAGTGAATGCAGGACAGAAAACAAGAAAAAGCAGATAGGGTCCCTTTAAAAGAAGCCCTCCAGCTACAGGAATTGCAGGCTTTATTGCATCGGCTTATTTTGGTCCACTGTGGCTGAAATAAATGGGTTTGTGTTGCTGTGCTGATCATAGCCACCATGTGGTTAGAATGACTGGGTGTCACATGTCACGAATTAAAGCCACCTAAATGTCAAACTATTGTTTTTATTATTATTGTTTGTAACTGCAGGTAAAATGAGTTTTCCTTTCAGGAGAAGTTCATTTTATTCCGGTTTCATATAAGAAATCCAGTTCCTGATGTTGCCAGTGGAAACATGGAGCTGTTTCCACTGGCAAGACACTGGACTGCGATCTGATTGGCTGATGCTCGGTGCACACACTGGGTGAAGGGTTAAAGTGTAATGAACAAATTCAAGTGCTCTTCCTCTTGTAGAGTCAACCTTCTTCTGATTCCTTTGTATACAGTAGCATGCTGGCATGCGTTCTCACTGACTTCATGCAAAGTCGAGGTGCATTATTTTCTTCTTTTTGTTTTTTGTTTTTTCACTTGAATATTGCAAAGGTAAACAAAGTGCTGTGTGGATTTGTGGAATTTTGTCGATGACAGTTGCAGCTAATGTGAACAGATTTTAATTTAATTCTGGGTCTACTAAACATTCAGAATTGGTTACTTTCAGTGATTTATCAGAAGCCTCTGGAGCCACAAAACCAACTTTCTGTTAAGGCCAGGAGATCTGAAAAGCACACCACAAATAAGTGCTCTCAATTTACTAATTCACTTGTAAGGATTAATGAAAGGAGCTCTGCATAATCTATAGCAAAATCAGCATTATGGGGCTCAAGTTTGTGCATAGCTGATGCTCACACTCCATCCTCAGTGACAAAACATAGTTGACAAGGCTTTTCTGAACCACTAAGATGTACTGTATGTGCTATATGTCTTCTATGTAATACAACAACTCATGTCATCTGAGTTGGCGTGATGAAGATACCAATACTGGCTACGTGCTGAGTGACGTCATGCTTATGTAGCTCAAGATGCAACCAACAGTTGCAAGGGAAAAATTTGGATGTCAGCTACAAATTGAAAGGTTGGTAGTTGGATCTCCATCTGCTCCAGTCAATATGTCAAATATCCTTGGGCAAGTTGCTCTCTGATGCATCCATCGGAGTATGAATGTGTGACAGATAGAAAGCATTTACATAGAAAAAGTGCTTGTGTGAATCGGTGTGAATGGATAAAATGGGTCACGAAGAGGGTGCTGTACCAAAAGCCTCCTTGTGATGGCTTTGGTTGCTAGCAGATTACCCATAGTTTGTTACCCATAGTTTGTTACCCATAGTTTGTTACCCATAGTTTGCATGTAAGACATGAGATTATATGCAAACACTCAAAAGCTACTCACCAGATGGTAGTCAAACTGTAAAAACTGCAACACAAGGCAGATATGGAGAATAACTGCCTTTAACGTAAAAGTTACGTCTCAACACAACAATCAACACGTTTCAAAACACCCAACTCTATAAAATACATATGTCTATATTAAATTAAAAGCACAACAATAAGTAACTGGTATGTAGAAATTGGTATTCTGAGAGCACAACGTTGTCAGTTGCATGTTGTGTTTGTTGTTGTGTTTATCTTCACAATAATATTTCCAGGTCCGAATGTCAGAAATTCATCAATCTAAACAATATGGATCCCTGGAAATTCTGACACAATAATAGTGTTATTAATGTTTTCTAATTATGTACTTTTCTAACCTTTCCAGTACTTCTTAGCTGTGTATATTACCTTGAGTTTGGGAGTCTGTACTGAAAATAAAAATAGAATGAAATATTGACTATTTATCTTCAGGGCTAAAAGTGAGATGGAGAAATTAAAGGAAAGATTAAAGATTTGTATGCTGCATGAGTTGATGTTCAGTGGTTGAGATACAGCTCTTTAAACTGCTTGAAGTGCCCCTGAATGTCTCTGTTTTAAAGTAGCTTTTTGTTTGTTTGTTTGTTTGTTTGTTTGTTTGTTTGTTTGTTTGTTTGTTTGTTTGTTTGTTTGTTTGTTTGTTTGTTTGTTTGTTTGTTTGAGTTAAATGTGAAAATGTGGACCTGCCTTAATCTACAGTTGTGGTAAGAAGTTACATACAATACATCATAGGGATAAATCCAGCACCAGTAACTTAAGGAACTAAGTTAGTACATGTATATACAGTATTGATTCTATATATAAACATCGAGGCCAGGGGTGGGCATTCTCAGTCCACGAGGGCCGGTGTCCTGCAGGTTTTAGATCTCACCTTGGGTCAACACACCTGAATCACATGATTAGTTCGTTACCAGGCCTCTGGAGAACTTCAGGACATGTTGAGGAGCTAATTTAGCCATTTAAATCAGCTGTGTTGGTTCGAGGACACATCTAAAACCTGCAGGACACCGGCCCTCGTAGACTGAGATTGCCCACCCCTGATCTAGACCCAATTATGATTTTTTTTAAGTCATTAAAGGTATAATGTTCAATTATTCCACTCTGGGAAAAGAACAGCACTAAAAACCATTAAAAGCTCAGTGTTACCATGGCAATAATGCCCATGGTGAGTGAATGTAAACTTCAGACCACAACTGTAAATACTGTTAACCTCATTGTTCTTCTGCCAACACACACCATCAGCCCAACAAACGCTAGCATTTTCAACTTTTACTGAAGTTTTACTGAAATTTTGTCTTCATCAAAATGCATCTTGTTGTATGACACTTGTGTTTTTTTACATGGTGTGTTATTTGTCATTTATGTTTGTTTGTTTTTAAAATAAATACATGTTAATATATACATAAATTCTTTTTCATGAGGATATTTCTGTACATATGTCAAAGTGAGTCAAAAATATCCCGCAATGAATGGAAAGCCAGAACTTCCAGACTTGCAGAACTTGACCTCCATCCATCTTTTTTGACTTATTCAGGATCAGGTTACAGGGACAGCGTCCTAGCAGAGTGAGTGCAGCCTCAGAGTGCATGGGGCCGTTATAGCTATGGCGCTGAAAGTCCAGTGATGTCATTTGTATGTAACACAAACAACACAGCAAATGAAAACATTGAGAAGGTGCTATACCTGCTGCTAAACGTGGTAAACGTGTGCACTGACATGTTGCTTTGTGTGAAGCCATTTCTCTCCTGTGCTTTCAAAAAGGGCAGTTTTGATTTTTGTGAAGGAGCTGCTCCTTCGTGCCACTGACTGACCTATCGGCAGTATGCAGTCTGTTGACGTCACATTTTCAGTGGCGTGCTTCACTTGGAACCCAGAGCAGTAGGTACTAAAAAGGTACCTGGTACCAGGTGCTACCAAATAATGGAAAGCCCTAAAAAAAAGAATTGAGTCACGCCGGGCCCAGTAGGTACTAGTGGAAAAGGGCTATAGAAAGGCCAGCCACCCTTTGAAGAAAACTCATCCCCACCTTTTAGTATCTACAATGTCCTTCTTCCAGTCACTACCCACAACTTGTGACCGTAGGTGAGCGTAGGGACACAATTACCTTTTATTTTGTTCATAAAAATTATAAACTTGGTGACGAAGGGCAGCCGTGGCAGAGTCCTATCCTAACCCTAACCCAATACTTATTGTCCAACTTATTGTTGACAATGCGGCCCAAGCTCTTGCAATGGTTGTACTCCGACTAAATGGCTTGTGGGAACAAGTCAGACAACCCACACAGCCAAAGCACCTCACAAAGGAGGGATGCAACTGATCACCTTCTCTTCACCAAGTTCACAAAACCCATGAGAACCCAGATGCACCTTCAAATATCTTTGAAAGGAGAGAGACCTGATCCAGCATTCTGTAACCAGGATAAAAACCACAATGTTTCTCCTGAATCTGAGGTTAGACTAATGATGAAGTCAGCAGGACCCCACTCACACTATACAGGTCGTGTCCAAATTCATGGGCTGCGTCCTCCTGAGGCCGCGTTTGTAGACCGATTACGTCACAGCGACGCGCCGAAGGCTGTCCAAATTTGTAGACTCCTCCGAATGCAGCTGACAAATGCGTCCTCCTTTTCCCCGAATTTGAAGGATGGGTCGGGTGTGTCCTTCGTGGCCCATCATATCCCAGAATTCATAGCGCGGCCCAGCCAAACTCCAGTTTCCAGCAATGGAGGCCGCTACTAAGTTTTAAAATTACTCTTATTAATCTTTCTGGGTCACAAAATAAACTTTTAACATATTTTCAGGTGAGAAAGTAGCTGTGTAAACATCAAATATCTGCTCGGTTTATCAAGACACCACATATTTCCAAAAGTGCTTCGACGTTTTCAGAGGCGTCTGTTACCCACCAGCTCGATAGCGAGCCGGGAGCGCGAGGGTCACTGAAGCCGCCGAGAATGGCACAACTCCCGGCACATCATTTTCAGATCGCTGCGGACTTTGGCTACTCGGTTTAAACGTAATATATAAGTCACTTCGACAACCTAAAAATGTTATTGTTGGGCTTTTTTCAGTGTTTTATTTGTTCGTGAGTAAATCAGTTTGGCTGAGATTAAAGTGATTAGATTAGATTAGATAAAATAAAACTTTATTAATCCCCCGGGTGGTTTTCGCACAACTGAATAAAGTCAAACAGAAAACTGATTAAACAGAAGTGTGAGACGGTCGAGCGTTTACTCCAGTGTCCTGTTATATTTTAGATAGCAAGCAGAAGACAGCCGAGTTTATTAAACTCCACCGAGACAGCGGTGACGCTAATCTGAAGGCTAGACCGTCCAATTTCACGGCCGTTTACTTCCGGCCTACCCGACCTTCTGAGGCCCACGTAGACCACAAAGGCCGGGTCCTCAGGAGGATGCAGCCCATGAATTTGGACACGACTATACTGTGTGAGTAGAGGACTGCTTTCTCTTACTAAGTTGCCCGACAGTGTGCCAGAATCACTTTGTGGCAGATTGAAAAATGCAGCAATGGAAAACTTGCCAAATATTTATCTGCTAATGTCAAACAGCTTACTCAAACACAACAGCTGATTTACAGTAAATGCTGATTGAAGAATGGGATGCCATCTTTATGACCATGCTGGTGAGCAGCATGAGGAGGTGCCAGGCTGCTGTGCCTGTGTGTTCTTCCACACGCTACTGAGGCCACAGTTTATCAAATAAATGAATTGTTAAATTGCTTGTTTCTGCAGATTTCAATCATCTAATTCAATAAACCACAAAAGTCACAATCAACTCCACAGCAGAATAATCTGTTTGGCAATGGAAGTTTTTCATGGGTGCAGCCCACTCAACTCTGCTGCTCAACCCACCAGTGGATTTTTCTTACAAATGTAGCATATTTTAAGGGGAAATAAACAGGATCCAACGATCTAAGCATTGTTACAACAAATAAACAATTCACCAAATGCAATTTTTCCTTTGTTTTTGTGCTGAACTTAAGATGAATACACTGTGGTCATAAAGACATGCCATGAGTGACAACAAAACCAAGGTAGGCTGTGGCATTTAAACAATACTGCATTGCTTTGCTGCCATATGATTGCAGTATATATAACAGTATACCTAATAAAGTGGCCAGCCGGTGTACAATGAATTATGGCTTTTAGTAGAACACTGATAGTAATTGCAGTTTTTTAGTGTGCAGGTTGGACAGTAAAGGGACGTCATTGCTGCAGCTCGATACTGCAGTTATTTTTACCTGCACAAAGCACTGCAGCCATTAATCCAGTAAAGCAAGTGTGAGAGCCACGGGACTGAATCCGTCCAACGACATGCAACTGCAGGTGCCTTAGCTAATAATCCACCACAGATTAAAGGTACTATGAAGACTTAATTAGTTTGGGAAGAACAACAGGGATTAGGCAGGTTTACCAGGGGGGTCTCTTAGCTTTGTAAGTTTTACTTAGCATGCAAATCTTTCAGAGCAGATGGGCACGTTGTAAAATGACCTGATGTTCAGAGGTTTTAGCTTAGCAATAATTAAATGAAATTAAAAGATGCCAAGCCTTGTTGCAACTCTGTAACTCAGGATGAGACTTCTAGCAAGATAACGAGATTGGTCACTGGTGTGATTGCTGTCCAAGTTTTGAATTTACAATGCAGCCTGCAGGGGGCACTAGAGGAACAGAGACTGAAATGCACGAAGGACTGAATCCAGTCCAATCAGATCATTGTTTGGTTGGAAACACCAGTGTGGAATAGAGTCAGTGCAGGTTTTACAAAGTATGAAACAGGAATGAACATTTATAAAAGAGTATGTTCTAATAACAGAATCAGCTTCTTACAAAATCGTAATCATTTTTTAAAGACTTTAAAAGCACCTCAGATGGTCATTATACCCCAGCAGTTGTATAACATGTTTAATCTGTACAACTGTGGAGGGCCAGGAGTGACAAAATGAATTAATTAAATACGCAATTTAATAATTAATTAAATGTTTCATTCATTCATTAAAATTAGAATTGATTAATTGAATAAATATTTCAATAATTAATTACATGCCCATTCATTTGATTTAAAACATTTAAAAAACACTTTTTTAAATTTATTTCAAATTGTATTTAACTATTGACACATTTAATTAATTATTTATTTATTACATTTTTAATTAATCATTGACACAGTTAATTAATTATTAAATTATGTATTTTTTTTTCAATTCATTTTGCCACTTCTGACCCTCCATGTACAACAAAGGTACAAATAATGACAGTTTTGCATGTAACCCTGTGAATAATGCACACATTTTACTTTTATTTACTTTTATTCTTATTGCTTGTACCAGTTAAAATCATTTTACATGTGGTAACTTTTTTAATGAAAGAAAATATAAAAATATTGAAAGTAGATAAATAATCAAAGTACGAGGCTCTGATGTGAGAATGTATTCACACCAGGTTTATTATGCTTATTCAGGATTTTAAAAATACACATTTTTCACTAAAAAAAAGAAAAAAGAAGAGGGGATAGTGTCCTGCTTTTTCACACAGCTTCCTTCTCTGTTTTCTTGTTTCACTGTTTTTGTCTTTGTTGCCATGACTACCTGTTTCCAGGAGTGTATTTTGTGTCCAATTCAGTTCACATCAGTTCAGCTTCATTTTATTCACAACAACAGTCACCTCGAGGTGCTTAATAATAATAATAATAATAATAATGGATTGCATTTATACAGCGCTTTTCAAGGCACCCAAAGCGCTTTACAATACCACTATTCATTCACTCTCACATTCACACACTGGTGGAGGCAGCTACAGTGCTTAATACTTAAAGGCAAGGATGCTTCAATCTTAGAGATAAACTGCAACAATCACACTCTCCCATCTGAGGGAAAAACGCAGAACCATCTGGAAACACCAATATACTGATACACAGCAGCGTTTGAGTACTAACCACAGCAGTATTGGAATTTCTACTCATAAATGTAATATATTGCACATAATTCATTCCGGTTTGGTAAAGTACTTCAGTAGCTTACTCTCTCTGCAACATGGCCTGTTATGTATTGTTGTATAATTTCACAATATACACCTCTGGCCCTGCTGAGAGACCCAACCCTTATCCTAATGTAGACACAAACAAGAGCTCTCTGTTAATATTTAAGTTGAAACTCAAAGCAAACAGCAAAGTTCAGTTTACACTGTAAGTACTTTCCATCTAACCAATTAATAAACGACTTGCTTTACCTCCTGAGCTGCAGCCACCCCAATAGCATGTAAGCACGCCATCTCTGCAGGTATTTAGAAATAGTTGATGTCATTCAGCAGCAGCCTTTTCATACAATAATAATTTATGGTAATATGGTAAAACTTAGGTAAGGCAGTGGGATGGCAAGCTGCACAGGCCTGGTGTTTAAATCCAGTGGTTAGCTGGGGCCTTTCTGTTTGGAGTTTGTCTGCATGAGTTCCAGATACATGCATGGGGTTAGGTTAACTGGTTGTCCTAAACTGGCCATAGATGTGAATGTTTGTCTCTCTGGGTTAGTCCAGCAATAGATTGGACACCTGACGGGAGAGGTTGGTCTGTTTGAACAGCTAATAGCAGACGTGCAGACAAACACAGCTTTTAGAGTTTTTGTTAATTTAGCTCTTTTTTTAAAATCTATTTCTATCACAATATGTATTTTATTTATCACATTATAGGATATAAAGGGTTCAGAACAGTTTCATAATAAAACAGTACAAACACAATCACAGACACATGCTCTGCAGTCTCTTTACACCAAAGCTTCCCCAGGCCGGATCTATTGGCAAATTAAACCAAATAAACACAGATCAAAATAAAGACTTTAGTTAGTTTTGTAAGCACATAATATTCTTTCAATGTTCATTCATTTCTTGTTTATAGATCCCAAACAGCCAACACATTCTTTTCCCATGTCAAATGCAGGTCATTCTCATTGCTGGGCTGTAGCATGATGAATATTTATTAAAGCAGCAGGTGTGCTTCAGTTATGCACAAGGTGTCCTTTGGCGTTTGTCATTCCTCAGTGTAAAGGGTCACATTGCATCCAGAGTCACAAGCCCAAAGCGAGTAGCTTTTAGTGCAGGCGGCTGAAAACAAAACAGCAAGTGGGATGAAAGGCTGCAGAAGGTCCCACAAACAGGACGCAAACTTCAGTCTCCTGGCTGATAAACATGCAACGCAGGCATCAGGAGGTCGGGGAGATTAGTCAGCCAGGAGAGTGGGGCTGAGTGACAAATGTACTTGGATAGCTTTAGAAATACATTAGGCTTTCACAGCATTAACTATGCTTACTTTAAGCTTTACAAGCCTTCACACTGGACAGAACGAGGCTGACTGACTTATTTCACTGACCAAAGAACAGCTTGCACATGATATGATAATGAAACATTTTCACATTATAAAAAACATATCTGTTCATGTCATGTTTTGACTAACTCAGATCTTTTTGGTGAATTATAAATTCTGTTTAGTAGAAAGGCAGCAAGAGAAACACTGAGCGCTACATAAAAATGACAAAACTGAGTTTCAGGGCTTTACACGAGGTAGTATTTCAACTGCCTCCTGGAGCCCAGCATCGATGCGTTCACCCACTGTACAAACCTCAAATCCACAGCTCAAACCTATAAATTCACAGTGTAAACACAGCATCCCCCACTTTCTCAACAAAGGGTTTTATTAATCATCAAACTCTGCAAAAGGAGGAAACCAGAGGCTCTCCTTCCTCTGCGATTTGCTTTGAGCTGCTTTTCTTTCCTGTCGCTGTAGGACGTTTTTTATCCAGCAGATCTGAACAGCAGCCAAAGCTATCATGCAGACCTGCTCAAGGAAACACACCAAAGATCAGAAACTGCTGTCAGTGACTTCAGAGGGTTTTTTGCAGCCAAACGTTCACTAGTGTTACCTCGAGCAGCAGCAGGCCGGCGGTCAGACCAGCCACCAGAAGCAGATTGTGTTTGGCCCACCAGACAATTTTATCCAGGCAGCCGATGGTGAATATGTCTTGACGGGCCAGTTTCTCCTCCAGCTGCTGCATCCCATAACCACACATGGTGTTCAGTACAGTCTGCAAAAGAAAGAAGCTGCTTAAGGTAACACAAAAAGGGCTTTGATGCACTGAACACCAGCATGGACAAGAAGTTAATTTGTGCATGGATTCAACGTTCACCTGTATCAATAGTTTCAGCTCATCTTGTTTCATCCTGCCCATCAAACAGGGTGCGAGCTGAACTGGAAACAGCCATCGCTGCCTCCCAGTCTCCGAGTAGACACACCTACGGTATAATTTTACAATTTTGTCCTCGAGTAATCATATTCACAAGATTTTCAGAAAACTTGACCTCTGACCGTCAAATTTTCTGAAAAGCTCATTTAAATTTGATACCATAGGTGTGTCTCGTGTGATCTTCTTTGACTTTTTTAAGAATGCCTCCAGTGCTAGCTCTCCACAAGGACGCTACCTAAAAGGTGTACCTTAAAGGATCTGCAGCTACTGAAAAGAGTAAGCATAAAGGGAGGAACGACTTTAGGTGGCAAATAATTTCAAATGCCACAAACACAGTGGCTGTCGTTCTCATGGCCAGTGTTGAGTCACGTCGAGTGTAGCAGAGATTCATTTGCATTTAAGCTGATGATGCTTAGATTAATTCACTGAATTCCACCGTTATACCAACTGTATATGATTTAGTGCAGCGGTCCCCAACCCCCGGGCCACGGACCGGGCCCGGGGGTTGAGGCTCGGGTGTGAAATTTATGGTTTTCAGGGTTTTTATCGTTAACTCGGTTTCCCTGGGTCTTTCTCGTGTTGCAGTTGTGTCTTATTTTGAAAGAAATATTTACGCGTTACCATAGCGACCAGAGTGCATTAAGGGGCAGAGAGGAGGATGTTACTCTCAGTGTTGTTGGTGCATTTCAGGAGGACGCTGCTAATAAAGTTACACAGTGAATTAATATTTATTCTTATATTTACAAAACACCACAGTTTGTCTCGGTCGCATCATTTTATTTTGTTGTATTTATCCGCGACACCTTAAAGGCCAGTCCGTGAAAATATTTTCTGACATTAAACCGTTTACGCTGATTTAGTGTAAAGACAAAATACAGCATACTGTTAGTGAAGGAAAGGGAAATCAGCTCATGAAACATCTGCTTACGTCCTGTTAAATTCAATTATAAATCCACAAAGACCAGCAGGTCAGCTGATCACAGCCTGAACACAAAGAAAATCTGAGTTCACATTAGAAATGATTGTTAGCTGTGACTCTCTTCCCCACGTGGAGCCACTACAGCCGCTCCCAGCTGTTTAGATGAAGAGGAAAACTTACCATTTACAACGACGCCATTATTGAGGCAACTGAAGAAGTCACTCTTGTGTCCTACATAACCGAATTTAGATTTGAACATTTGTATTATCATGTATAATATTATTTTATTATTATTATATTAATACAGCGCAGGGTTCAGTTGCTTTTGCATAAACATCCATGCTAGAACTGTCCTTAGGAGCTACTTTTTACTTTCTTGCTTTGAGAACATTTCAGAGCTTTTTCACCTTTACTTGAGTAAAGAAGGAGATTCAGTACTTCAGCTTTTACTAGAGTGTTTTTTAAACACAAGTATTTGTATTTCTACTTAAGTAAAGAATGGAACAGCCTTGGTACACCTGAGGCATCCCAAACACATCCAGGACTGGCTCACTGACTGGTTCTGACCTGGTTCTGCAAGCGAATGCAGCAGGAGAAGGGAACTCCACAGGCCTCCAGACTCGGGTTGGTGTCCGAACACTCAAAGTAGGCGTTACGGGACCAGTTTTTATAGCTTTCAACTCCACAGCACTGGAACTGCAATCACAGTGAAGCAGAAGCACAGTCATCACAACAGTAAAAAAGAAAGAACAAAAAAGATTACTGACTCTTAAAACTCGTCTCTACCTTCTTCTGGATGAAGTCAATGGCGTTCTCCAGGTCTTGGTCCTCCCTGTATCGTTCAATTGCCTTCATCATCAGCCTCTCAGTTCTCTCCATCACCTGAAAAACAAGAGAACTGTCACGTTGGTTTGTTTACTGCTTCGGTTTAGTACGATTTCTCGACGTCTTGCTACCGTATCAGTGAAAAAGTATCCCACGAATGCAGCTGCGATCTGCAAGAGTAAAATGGCCACCAGGAGTCCCACAAACTGCAGGAAAATAGGAGCTGATTAGAACAGACGGCCAGAGTCAGAACAAGATAAAAACCAGCACACTGACATACCATCTTCAGCAAGCAGATGGTGTTACGCAGTGCCCCGAAACATCCGAGGAACGTGATGAGGAACATCACAGAGCCGACGACGATCAACAGTAGAGCGGGATCAACCGTCAGGGTGTCAACCACATCTATACACACACACATACACACATACACACACAGTATATGTTTGCACTTCTATGTTTGTGGATATAATGGATTTCCAGGACCCTTATCCTGACTTAAAGATGATCATAACACGGACCCGAAACCCAAGTCCTTGAAAAATCTCTTTTAAGGTCTTTCCAAAAGTGAAGACATGGCTAAATGTCCTCGCTTACCTATTGTTAGCAGAACTTACCCCGACTTAAACCTGATTCCAAAATGGACCCTGGAACCCAAAAGGTCATTTTGGGAATCCTGGAAAAGTCCTTCACAAAGTCTGCCTCAGTGCTTTGACCGGGTCTAAATCCCAGTTGTTTTCCAGAGGTTCGTGAACGAGCCAACATTCACCTCAACATCAGTGATAACACAAGAGCGAGTAAACGTTGAAACATGTCTGAATAACTTTGTGGCTCATCCTCAGGAATGTGATCAACAAGCCTTGTTTTGATTACCCGACATACATACAGTCGTTATTCCAGGACCACCGACTTGGAGACTTTCACAATCCATAAAACAAATCTTTGCTTAATTAGTTTGAATCTTCACAAAGTGACTGTGTGGACAGATTTTATAACCCTGGCATCAGTAATTAATATTTTACATATCAAGAGACTGGTAGGGTCTGTACTCGTTACACTCTCACACTGTTTCCATGACAACTTGATCAACTTCCTCCCACAGTCCAAAACATGGAAGGTGATTCGAAATTGGCCACATGTATGAATCTGAGTGTGAATGGTTGTCAGACTCTGTGTTGTACCTGCAGTAGACTGGCAACCTGTCCAGGTCGTAGCCTGGTTCCACCCACCCTATGACTCATCTAGAGATAGCTACCAGATATCTATATGTGAGAATTAGACAAAACAAAGCTGAGACAAACCTTCATACAATCTTGACTGTGCACAATAAAGATAACATTCAGACAAAATGCAGAGAAATGAGGCTTAAATTCCTTTCATTTTTTAATAATGCCAGGAAAAAATCAATAATTCAAAGTGGACTAAACTAACCCACCTTTCTCTCTGGCGATCTTAGCATAGATCCCCACTGCTGTAAGTATGGCACTCACAACCTGCAAAGTGGCAGAGAAACGCAGATTTCATTAAAACAGAGGAACAGCTGTAACTAGCTCTACTGTCACTGGAATTAACATCATTTTCATTTCTGTGACTGTGGCTTAGCCTGGATGAGACGAAGCCCACTTGGACATGACGACATGAACACCTAGATTTGCATCCTGATTGGGTCTTATCAGTCCCACAAATTAGACCAGAGCAGTTCAACTGACATATTGTTTTCACATTGTTGTGGCTTCTGCTGGCGATGGATGTCACACTCGCAGTGCCTCCCGAGTATGCCACCATGTTTACTTTGAAACAGGCCCCAGTCCAAAGTTTCCCCTGCTTTACGTTCCATCTCACTATCGGTCCAAGAAGACACATTTCTGCTCTTACTTTCTGCTATTGTTCTTCCTCTGCAGTATTTTCTATTGCTTCCTGTTTACCAGCACATACGTGCCGTTTTGTGTATGGTGAGAATGTAAGTATAAATGGAGATTATCTCTGAAACTGTTCTAAAAATACTTGACAGAACAGAGATGGTTTTATTGGAAAACATCGTCTTAAATATAAAGTGTATCAGTGTGGTTGTTATCCTGGCCCTTCACACAGCCCCTCACTTCATCCTCTCTGTGAAACAACCCGTTTTGGCCTCCTCTTTCTTTAAATGCCTCCCTAAGAGCCCACTTTCATTTTGATTGGCCAGCTTCTGGAAGCCTGCCCGGGAGCAAGCTACAGCTTCTAGGGCTGAAAAACGAAGCCATTGTGGAAGCATCAAAACCTGCAGTTCCTCTAAAGGCCACTTGGATAACTGTGAAAAAAAAATTTAATCTTATAATAAAGTTTGCACTGTTAAGATGTGGCTTCTTTAGCTGACAGCTAAATACTAACAGTGTTCAGTTGTGATAACAGACCAGGAAGTGTGTGCTCCGGTTTTGTTGAGTGAAGTTCTACTATTTGTATGTCATTTAGCACTGAGTAGCAGATATCTGCTAGCATGCTGGCAATGTCCATCTCTACGCCTGACATATGAAAAATAACTGGTTATTTTTACAGAGTACCTCCTTTGTTACTTTCTGTACACGCCATCTTTCTGGCCTTCATGGGAAAGAAGCCCTCCCCTGCTAGAGATTATTGATGATTGAAATCCGCATCATTTAAAGGCACAGCATAGATTTGTATTGCTATGCAGATGATACCCAGTTTCTATTCATGAAGCCAGATGACAAACACCAGCTAGTTAAACTACAGTAATTTCCCTGCTGGGTGAACCTCCAACTCTGAGGTCATGGTCCTCACCCAGAAAAGGGTGAAGAAATCACGGATACAAGCAGCGGAAATGAGCGTCCTCTAAAGGGTGGCTGGCCTTTCCATTACAGGAAGGATGAGGAGCTTAGCCATCTGGGAGCTGCCACTCTGGCCCTAAAACTCTTAGAATCCAGATACTTACTTTAGGTGGCATTGATTTGGCTTCCAGTAATGTTGGATTTGTTAAATATTTGCACATTAAACAGTGTAGGACTGCTTTCTTGCATTTCCAAAATATCTTTAAAGATGGAAACATCCTGTCTCAGAGTGGCGCTGAAAAAGTAGCTGATGGATTTATTACTTCTAGGTTGGACAATTGTTGTAGTTTATTATTATCAAGCTGCCCTAAAAACTCGCTGATCCAAACTGCTGCAGTAAGGGTACTAACAGAGAGAGAGAGCATGTTTCTCTGATACTGGCTTTTCTTCACTGTTAAATCCAACATATCTAAATAAAATCAGAAGGATAAATGAGTTAATATTAAATATTAAAATGCTGTTTGTAGCTCATCTTCTTCCTCTGTTATGGTGCAACTGAGGCATTTAGTCACTATTATGCAACAGGCTTGCTACTATCACGCACTAATGAAAGTATGATGCTACATTTTTTTTAAACAATAAATTGCTTAAAATGGGAGAGACTCACCCAAAAGAAGTAGCAGAAGATGAATAAGGTGTACTTAACGCCTCGGTATCCTCTCATGTCCTCTCAGCAGTGCTGTTGTTCTGTCAGACTGTCGGAGGCTTGTTATCCACTGAGACTAAAGCAGGACATGTGTCGGCCTGCTGAGGCATTCCTGCTGCTGAGGGAGGAGACATCTGTCACTTTCTAATCTCATCCACTGTGTCTCACCTTTTTGGAGACAGCCCCTTCTGTTTATGATTTGATGTCTCCAAATAATCTTTAACTTTTGTGAATTCAGTGAACTTCTAGAATCACAGCTTTGCGATTTCAAAGAAAGAAACATAGCAGGAGAGCTAGCTCATATCATCCGTCTGTGTCACGCTGGTTTCCCTGTGGAAACAAATTAGTTAAAATAACTTTTCTCCACTCACTTCATTCATTGTGTGTTCTGTTACAACTGGCTCATGAGATGCAAAATAAAATCAAGAGTTCACGTTTTTTATTTTATTTTGTGTTTTGGAAACATGGGGTTTATTTGTTCACGGTTTTTATGGGCAGCTGAGGGTATGAGCAGGATGCTGACTCAAAGTAGAGCTGGGACTAATCCATATCAAAAGAAGCAGCTAGAAGGCCCCCTGCACGCCTGCTAGGTGAGGTGTTTTGGGCACACAGCTGCAGACTCAGGACACAGGCTGAAGAGATTATGTAATAGTAAATGGACTTTTTCTGTGCTTTTTTGGGGGGGTTAGGATACTTTGACCAGAGCAGCCAGGGTTTGAACCACCTACCTTCCAATTACACCTCCCTGCTCTACAGTCATGGATTAAAAAAAAAAATACAGGCTCATCAAAGTTCAAATGAACAGGTATTGTGCATATATGGATGCTGGCAAGAACATCTGGACACTTAGCAGTTAAACCCATGCATCACCCAAAGCCACAGTATTGCTAGCAAAGGTTCATAAAATTATGATTACTCATAAAGCTCATTGTGAGCTTTGCAAACAAAACTGTGTGCAGAACAACAGGGCTCCCAGATTTCATTTAAAATATATTTGTCCAGATTTGTGTTTTTAATCATGTATTTCTCTGTCTTTTTTTTAAGAACTCCCACAGCAACACGCCTGTAAGGAAGAGAAAGTTCCCACTTCTCACCTGTATGACCCGAAAGGAACTCCAGTCTGGAACAGGAGGTCCCAGAGAGTCCACACAAACAGGAAGCCATAGTTCTGCAATTTTTTTGAGAAAGAAATTTGGTGAAAGCAATAAACTAACATGCTGCATGAAAATCCACAAAGATCTCATCAGATGTTCATGCAAAACATCAGAAAAGATTCTGCTGTAACTCTGAACTACAAGCCGAGATGAGAACCCACATCAGTGAGAAGGCCACGGGACACATGTGGGAAAAGATTTACCCTCAGTAGTAACTTGTCCTCATGATAACTCCCACATACAGTCATATTGAATTCAATTCAATTTTATTTATATAGCGCCAAATCACAACAATATTGCAGACACATATGTAAGAAAACATTATCTGAAGTTAATTTTAAAAAGATGTATTAATACATTTTACAAGATCTGGGTCTCATCTGTGTCACACTACACATGCATGTCATGTGTGTCACAAATGATCATTCTTAGGAATACCATGGATTTTTATTTTAAAAGGTACCTATTGTAAATTAATGTATTTAAAACAGTTTCAAACCAAATTCACTAAAGCGATGAACAAATTTCAAACAAATCACTGCTACAGTTTCATGTTCAAAACATGAAGTTGTGGGGCTGAAATGCGCTTTGTGTAATGCCCGTTTAGACCACAAGGTGGTGCAGTGACTCAGTAACCTCGAACCAGGCAAGTCAACAAAACAAACACTTAAATGAGACCTTTTATGTTGCTATTACCTGGCATCATAAAAGGCACAGACCGCTTAGGAAAACCATGTGCTGAGGTGTGAGTGCTCTAATATTTAACATTTATGGTTCAGTACCCGCTGAGAGGTTTGTGCCATTTTTCTTGTTTGAGTTATTAATAGAATTTGATTTTTACTACAGTTATGCAGCAGCTGGAACCTGGCAGGGCCTGGTGACTGCAATAAAATAAAAACGGCACAGAAAAAACTACTTTGTGAACGCGCTGTTTCCTACAAACACCGGGGTGAACGGTGCCGTCAAGCTGTGGCCCAATAATGCAAATTTCGTGCTTTACGCGGGTTTTAATGCAAATTTGGTGGATCCTGTGAAGCCTGTTAGCGCCATTATTGATTTATTTATTCATTCATTTAATAATTATTATTTATTTCCCGGTCTCGAGTACAGTTTTGGTATTTGGGACGTCACAGCCTTCGAAAGAAACAAAATACAACATTTTCCCGTTTCACAGTAAAGTCTTTATAGAGATGTCCAGCAATGAATCTACTGAAGTCTTTCCAAAATGTTCCAGTGTATGAACAGATCCAGAGGTGCTGCACAGTCTCAGGATGGCTTCCACAAAATCCACAGCTCACATTTATGTCCCTTTTGAACTTCGTCATGTAATGATTAGCAGGATAAAATTCATGCAGTATTTTAAATGAGACTTCCTTCACTTTATTCGTTACCAGATACTTGTTAGGAATTGTCCATACTCTTTTCCAGTTAATGTCACTGACAAAGGAATTCCAATAAGAGACCACATGTGGGAAAGTTAGAGATTCTGTCTGGAACAAAGCACGAATATTCTTATTACTTTTACTGTGGTTTGTTAGACAGATTCTTCCTATGTGTGAATCTAAAGGGTTGGGGAGAGAAACAGATGATATGCAAGGTTGAACACTCCAATGGACCAATCAGCATGCATTAGAAGAAGATTGACGTTTTAATGGCCCAAATCTGCTTCCGTGTAGGAAAACTAAAGAATACGAGTCTTGTGTTATTTACCTTTTCGTCGACTACTGTTATTGTATGTGTGTAAGGTGTCTTAAAGCAAGAAAACAATTATAATTTTCGCTGTTTAGCGCCATTGAGTTTACCTCCCGAGCGCCCTCTGCTGTGCCAACGGCTGAACTGCCGTAAGTAATAGTGGGGCGGCTCTTGGTCCACCATTAAAAAAAAACTACAGTGATTTAGAAACAGTGACCGACAAATATAAAAATGACGTGTCGCTCAAAACTTCCTGTTTGGGGAAGTCGTGGTGACTTCAAAGAAACCCGCTGCTACGAAAGTTTTCGGAGACTTTTCCAAATGTCCCTAAATGATCCACATATGACTGAGCTGTCAGTGGAAACCAGGAAATTAAAGCTTTTCCTGAGTCCCTCCTCCTCTGTCTCATGTAATAGCTTGTTTGCTTAAAGATCAGCGCACAGGGGATTAAAACCGCATCGATCACTCGAAACAGATCTACCGGATCAATAACTCGGTGAGTGACTGAGCGACATGGATGCGAGCTGCCGGGACTGGATGTCAGCCTTGCCTGATGAGCTGTGGGACGTTCCTCTCACACACCTGGCCATTCCAGGTACATTCGCACATTTAGGATTCCTCGTGAATTTATAGACGCACAGTTTAAATATGTTGACAGTCACCTGAAGTTTTAAGGCGCTTTAAACACAAAAATATCAAAAGCATCAGTGTTACAATTTTCTACCAATGGAAAATCACTAAATACGTTTACTTAATATTGAAGTAATACCTGGTAATACTTTATGTCAGTACTATTTATTCTACTTTACATGTGTACTTCAACACTAGACTTTTCCTTCCACTAACGTATTTCACAACTACTTTATATTTTTATTATTTATATGCAGTGTAAGAAATGTGTTATCTCTGTGGTTTAAAACTCTGCATATTCACAGACAGATTTGTTTTTGGCTGTGTGCAAACCAGACCACATTTCCCCTGTTTTGGCTACTTCACACTGGCTGCAGCGCGTCATAGGTTTCATTGTTTGTTTTTAAGTCACTGGATGGGTTAGCCCTGCCTCACCTTTCTGGTTTTTAAACTATGCACACTCCCAAAAGATCATCGCTGTCAGCTGGCTGGATGCTTCTGGCCTTTACTGAGAAACAGATTAAGGTGTAGAGGACATCGGGCCTTTGTTGTAGCGACACTGAACAGTTGACCTCACCAACCACCACCACCGACATCTTCAAACCCTGTTTGAAAAATCATTTTCATGTGAAGCTGAGCCGTTTTGCTTGTGTTGTTTGTTATTCTTTTAGTTTTACAAAACTGAAAGAATGGACTCGATGTGTGAAGTTAGACCTGGTCACCCTGACCTTTGGGGCTCCCCTCTCACTGGGAAAATTGTTTTTTGTTTTAATTTAATTACATTTCTCTGATATTATTTTGATATTTTCACTCACAAATACAACATTTACATACATATTTTACACTCTGGTATTGTTACTTTCACTGAAGTAAATGATCTTCTTTTACCACTGGACAACAATTCAGACTGGGATTGTTACAGTTACACAAAACAGTCATGATCACACACAGACACAGTAAACAACAAAGTCAACATTTATCAGATAAACAAGCAAGTAAGAATTTTTTTGAAGCAACTTGCGCCACAAACCAGTTTCTTTACTTTTAAAATGTGTTCCTGTAGGAAGCCACGATGCCATGAGTTACTGCCTGGACATAAACTCCCCGTTGGTCAGGGCTGAGTCGGACTTTTTCCGGCTCCTGGATGGAGTTTTTAGCTGCTTCACAAGGCCGGCCATTTTTAGATGGGCCACCACACAGGTAGGCACTGAAAATACAACCACTGCGCTGTCACTATGTCGGCAAAGGTGTGAGGACAACTGAGAAGTCAGTGCCATGGGTGCTGAGACGAGACGGCCCCAAGTTTAAACAGGTTGTTTGGTCTTCTTAATATACTTATTTAAAAAAGTTGTTGGCTGCAGACAGAAAGACTGTAAGTTGATGATAGAAAGCAAAAATGAGAAGAAATACATTTAAACACTCCACATGTGAGTAGTCATGTGATCCAGTGTTGCTGTACAAATATTGATTGTAGTACAAAATGCTGTTTATATGCCAAAAAAGTTCTTAACTAGTCAGTGTGCTTTGCAAATGTATTTACAGACCAGGGCTCAGGAGCCAAGGTCTAAAAAAACTAATCAAGAAAACAGAAAAAGTGCAGCGATACTGTTTTTCACACTTACTGCTGCTGTAGGAAATAAAAGGCCACGTGCCTGCCAGGTGCGAGCTAATCAAATGAACTTTATTAACTGAGCATCAGCATGCGTGAGTATCTCTGTAAAAGCAGAAGTTGTGACAGTTTCCTGGCCTGGAACATGCAGGTGTGTGTTGACAAGTGTTGACAGATTATTCCCACGTTAAAAACATGCAAAACAGCTGCCAACAGCTGGACATCCCTTCAAATTTCCGTCAGTGTCAAACCCTGCAATGTTCAGAGAAACGACAGAAAGCCCAAGAGCTGCATCTCACACTCAACAGGCCTCAGTTAGCATGTTAATCGTTAAAGTTCAGGATAACAAATTAGAAAAAGGCTGAAGGCTGTTTGGGAGGAGAAACCTTCTCTCTTATAAGAACATGGCAAAGCTGCATCTGAACAATCCACAAGATTTCTGGATCAGCGTCCTTAGGAGACCAAAGCGGAGATATTTGGTCATCATGCCAACTGTCAGGCACGGTGCTGGACATCTAGAGAAAAAGAACTATTGATTAAAAATATATCATTTGTATCTAAACGCAAATGATAAATCGTTTAAACTGGTTATGATGTAGAAAATGAGTGTTAAATAAAGTACTTTGCATGTGGTTGAAACAGGTAAGTTGGATGGAACCATGTAGAGTAAACCGAAATTAGTCAGTCGAAAAAATGTTTGAAATGAATGCACGCAAAAATGGGAGGTGGTGTTGATGACGAGGTCATGGAATCCAGGACTGGTTTCAGTGACGCCTCCATCAGGAAATCATGTTGACCTCTTTCCTGTCAGGATAAAACCATTGAAGAACAGCTTTCAATGGGGATTCGGTACTTTGACCTTCGTGTTGCACACAAACCAAACGACTCGTCCAGCGACTTGTACTTCACACACGTCATATACACTCATGTGACCGTACTGGTGAGTTTAGCACTTTCACCTGACAGTTAGTGTTATTAGAAAAAACAAATCACTACTGCACAATTTTTTTCAAAGTTCAAGGTTCTGCTGCACCTGAATAGATCTCATTTCTATTGGATTGTATTATTTTGAGATGCAACAGAAAGTCTTTTAAACAATATTAGCATTTACCAGCTGGTACAGATTTTATCAGTTTTTGCTGGAGTTCTTTGTATGTCAGTTTATTTAGAGGTGGAGATTTCTACAAAGAGCTTAAAGGGTTCGGTTTATTTTTAAAAGCGTAAGTCTGGCTCCTCTGGTAGTTACAGTGAGTATCCTATTTAACAGGAAACACTTGAGTCTGTTGCTGCTTGGCTCGAGGCTCACACGAAGGAGATCGTTATCCTCGCTTGCAGCCATTTTGAAGGAATGGATGACAAATGCCACGAATCGTTCATTTGGTCCCTGAAGAAACTGTTTGGCTCTAAGCTGTGTCCCCAGAAGGTGAGCTTGTCTCTCTGCACAGGTGATTTATGGTACAAAAAATGTCTGGTGCACCGGGACTTAAGAGTGGCCCGCTGGTCCTCCACAGGAATCGGCGCTGACCTTGCGGAGTCTGTGGGCGTCGGGTTACCAGGTCATCCTCTCCTATGAATGCCAGCTTGCAGTGAGACATCAGGAGCTGTGGCCTCCCGTCCCTTACTGGTGGGCCAACCAGCGCAGAGCACATGGAGTCATGACTTACTTGGACTGGCACAAAGACCTGGGACGTCCAGGTGAGTTTGGACTGTAGAGATTAGATATGTATGCGCGTCAGTGGCTAAAAACTCCGTTTTCTCTCCTCAGAGGGCTTCTTTGTGTCCGGCCTGAACCTGACAGCTGACAGATATTACATCACCAAGAACCAGAAGGAATCCCTGCGGACGCTCACCTACAGCAACTGGGAGTATTTGAGGACATGGCTTGAGGAACAGAGTCCCGGATCAGACGCCGGGAGCCTCAACATCATCGCGGGAGACTTTGTGGGTTCACTGCCGCTCTGCTCTGCCGTGATTGCACTGAACCAAAAACTTTGCCGGAAGAACTCCAGACGGATGAAAAAGCATTATTAGCCACATCAAACCTCATTTCCTGTGTTCCTCGGTGTCTCACAGTTTACGTGAATTTTTGTCTCCACTAAGACTTGAAAGAACTGTAACTTCTGTCTGCCTCAACATCAACTCATGAGGGCATTTTATGCTTAGTACAACCTTTTTATTCCTATACTCGACTAGAGTGGCTTCGTGAAACCCTCAGTTTACCATAAAAACAAGCTGTTTTAGCCCCTCCCCCTTTAGCCAACTTTCTTCGGACTTGCTGCCAGTCGCAAGCAGAAGGTTTTCACAGCAGGTGTGTGTAGAAAGAGATGAAACTCTGAAACTGAGCATTTAGAGCCATCTGAAGTTTGCCTTTTATCTCTCGTGGGTCATTTGTGCATCTGAATCTTTGTGCAATCTGAGTTTTTACAAGAAAACATTGTAACAGATTTGTATCATTATATATTTTAACATACTGTACAGTAAAAGCAGTCTTTTCTTTAACTGAGGTACAGTCCATTTTTACTTCTGCTATCTCGCCCTTCCTCCCCTCTCATCTGCTTCCAAACAGCTTCTTGTAGCGCCCATGAGCAGCGGTGCTGATGATGACCTTGACAACGGCCGAACCTTCGTCTGCATCCACCTGCACGTCCTGAACGGTGGCCTCTTTGTACAGCCAGCTGTGGAAAAGCATACACATGTTACCACACGTGCTCCATTGATCCAAATGATACGCTGACACAGACAATCCCACCTTAGCTGAGGAGAGCTCAGGTTAACTTTGAGATCTAAAATTTGTTTCCCCGTAGCCTTTAAGATCTCCTCCTCCACTGCTTCCTTCAGCTGTTCCAAGCCCCTCCCCTCCAGGGCTGATATAGGCAGAGCAGCGAGCTCTGCAGACTCGTAACTGAGAGACAACCATAACAAAACAGGTCAGAAATATGATGTCAGCCATAATACCAATAATAACGTAGTACATTATAAGCAGGTCCTGATGGAAGTTACTGTATATATGTGCTGATGACAGTGGTAGGTGAGCTGGTTTTTGCCCTTACTTGGTGAGGAGATCAGTTTTATTGTGGACCTCTATCATGGAGTTCATCAGCCTGTCGGGCATTTGCAGGTTCTTCAGGACATTCAGCACGTTCACCTTCTGACTCGCTGTCTCTGGATGGCTGATGTCTCTAACATGAATCAGAAGATCCTGAAATGATGAGAAACACAACCACAGTCTCCCGTTTTAAAATGTGCAACTTTACAGCAGTTGGAAGACTGTCAGGAGTTTTCCTGTAATGCAACTCAGGTCAGAATAAATGACACTCAGACAGGTTTGCAGGTTTAACGTGCACACGGGTGAGAGTTCAAACGAAGACTCACTCACCGCAGCAGTTGCCACCCTTTATTTATACTCAAGCATGTTTGCGTCACAGACACATGCAGGAAGAGATAACATATAACGATCACAGACCCATGAGTGGAAGAGATAACATACAAAGGTAGAGACTTCGTGCTGAGCTTTGCACAGTGTAACTTCTCTAGTACAAAGAGCAAACACATCTAGAGAACCTCAAATGAAATGTACTTCTATACATAAACATAATAAAATCTTTCAACAAAGACGTTAAAAGTCGGCTTGGCCCCTACAGTTTTTATTCAGGGGTGAATTTAAATTTAATTAAAGCTTACGATGGTGTGGCTGCTTCGACTGCCACGAACAGTTAACCAAAGTCACACAAGCGCACCAAACCTGGACAACAGACAAGTGGAAACACATGGCTTGATGTCGGCCGCGACATTCAGAGGTTAGGGACAGAATTTGGTACGAACAAAATGAAAGCAGCATCCTTTCCTGTATCAACAGCCCGAACTGTTTCATTTTTTATTGTTTACGCCAAGTTTAGATTTTTATGTTGGATCGCTAAAATGTTTTTCACACCTCGTTTTAGTTCTTAGTTTTACTCCTGCAGCGAGTGTGTGATAAACCTCGGTTTGCTACGTACCGAATGCTTAATATCTTCCAGGGTGGCAGCGAATGAATCGATGAGCTGGTGGGGCAGCTGGGACAGGAAGCCGATGGTGTCCGCATACAGAACGGTCATGTGACTCGGCAGCTGGCCAGCATGGACGGTAACGTCCAGTGTGGCAAAAAGCTGGTTTCTGGGCTGGAGGCCGGTGTCCCCCGTCAGAGCTTTGATCAAAGTCGTTTTTCCTGGACAGATGAAATCAGAAGAAACGTGTCACTGTTGTGGATGCTGTAACATTTAACACTTTATATGAAAACAATCTGCTTTTTTACTGGTCTTCTACGTTTCCAGCCTCTCACCACAGTTGGTATATCCCAACACTGAGACGACGGGGAACTCCCTGTGTCTGCGCTGAGATCGCAGGAGGTGCCTCTTTTTCCGAAGTCTTTCCAGCGCCAAGCGGATCTTTATCTCCCGCTCTTTCAACAGCCTCTGCTGGATCTCGTACAGCGTCTCTCCTGAAAGGACCAGAGACTTTATATCATCATTTCCCAGCAGTACGGCTTTCTGCTCATCACTGATACAAATATCTGGCCGGGAAACACAGCCACCGTAGGAGCGCCTAATGCTCACTTCCTATTTTGCAAATAGACTGTATATAAAAGATGGACTTAGCCACCATGATGTTACAAAGTGGTCGATAAGATTGATTGTAAAGCCAATTGTGTTTGAAGCTGAAGCTCAAACCAGACCTGACGCCCCCTGCTGGCTGTTAGAAAGACTGCAAAATATGGGAATAAGATGCATGCCTCAATAATGGCACGAACATATAACTGTATCAGATCCAAATTGAAGAAAACTGATCATATATTATTAAAATTGTCCCGGCATGGTTTGTGAAGCAGAAGGTAGCTCCATGGTGTAGTGGTTACCACCTTACATGTGACAGCTCCTCGGTCTGGGAGCAGATGCACAGCCAGCCTCAGGGGTATAAAATTTAGATTTAGATTAAAAAGCTATTAGAGTTTATTATACTATTAGAGATTAGAGTTATTTTAATTAACTGGAAACAATATAAAATAAGTTATTTCAATGTGGGTAATTGGTGTAAGGGCTTTATGGATTCAGAACCAGATATTATGTCCATGATTTATATACAGTATTGGTAACAACCAATCAAAAAGAGACATCTATACACACAGGTAGACTCGTTTCCACTGTGGATGCTGCATCACCTGATCCGCCAATGTATCTCGATCCTCCGCCCTGTTGATCCAAGTTTGCCATTTCATTTTTCAGCCGTGATCTGCCATTAACGTACCAAATGTGACTTAACACTGATAGGAAGGCATCATCATAACAGACTGAAACATTTTACAAGCCACCCACAGGTAGCAGTGTAAGGTACCTTAACAGAGGGATCTCTGCCAGTGAGATCTGAAGCTTGGCTTCTTTGGTTCTGGCGTTGCAGCGGAAAATGTGGAGGACTACTGAGTATCTGTCAAACACTTTGACCCCCCAGACTTCCTCAAAGTCCCTCTAAACAGAAATGAGTAAGAAAAATAAAGAAGAAGAAAAAGAATCATCAACAAAAGAAACCTTTCATTCAACACAGCCAGAGTTTTCAGACATGCTCACCTCAGACAAAGGAGTCAGACGCTCAACATTGACGAACACAGCAGTGATTCCTGCTGTTTGCCTGATCCTCTCTGCAGGGAAACAGCAGGTAATTCACATGTAAGCAGCACTTGGTCTAGACCTTCTGATTCACCGGAGTGGATCATACCTGTGAGAGTCTGGAAGTTCCCTTTCCCAAATATCCTCTTCTTCTCTGGAGTCTTGGTGGAGAGGATCATCTTGTCCACCACAGTCCAGTTCTCCAAGGTGTTCACAAGCCCCTCAGCCTCGGCCATCATCAGCTCAGCTGCAAATGTAACGGTGCAAACTTGTGATAATCTCCACTGGTGTATCTTTGTTCTTGGAGAGCAATCATAGCTCAGGATAATTGCCTTAAAAATGCTCTCACTGCAGCCTGCCAGACTTTCTTCTTCTTGGCTGCCTCTCACAAACAGAAGCTTTAAACAGCACATGGGTGGAGCTCTAGCAGTGTTTAATATGACACCTACATTAGTCAGAAAATAAGGAAAAACATACATTTAAATCTACTTTTTCCATCTGGCTCATCTGAGCATGTGTGTGCTGTTACCTGTAGTCAGATGCTGTTTCCTGCTTCCCCACTTCACATCTGGGTGGACGATGAACACCCTGTGCTGTTCCTCTCCGATGCCTGCAGGAATCTGCTGCTGGAACAGCTCCTCCACCTCGCTGTCCTCCAAGAAATCTTCATCCTCGCCCTCCTCATGAAACCCGTTGCTGCTGCCGAGGTCATCTGTGCTCTTCGGCCTGAACGCGGAGAGCCCAAATGCCCTGGTCTGCAGGCTAGTTGCCCCTCTCTGCCGCTGACAGGTGTTGACTGCATGTGCGTGATCAGGTGTATGCAGCAGTCTGCAGGTGGCTCGTGCCCCTACCTGACAGCTCCTCGTGCAGGATCGCTGCAGGACGGGCATCCACGAGCTAATCCTCCTCAGGGCTGTCAGGAAGCTCATCAAACCCTGAAGTTCACACAACGTGGATCACCGCAGGTCACACACGCGCGCTGCTGACGTCGTTCTTCTACAGGCTCACCTGTAGAGACCACACTTCCTGTTTGGTTTAGAAAACATAATTTATCTCAATAAATATACAAAAAGTTGGACTATGACTGATTATGAGCGAAAGGACACCAGGATCAGCCCGTGAGTAGCTGTGTTTTGAGTTTCGTGGGGCTTTTGGGTTTTTTGGTCCCCGCGTTTTGCCTTCCAGTTAGCATTTCCTCCATGAGTTCGCACTAAACGACAAATTTACCGTCAGTAAAGGATTTTAAGCTAAACAGAGACACCTGAATGGGATAAAACCTCATTTACATTTAAGATTATTCGCTTGAAAAATAGTGCAATAAGATTTTTTTTGATCCAGTCTGGAAGAAAACGTTTCCTGGAAGACTAAACCCGGGGATGTAAGTATGTCTTACCAGTAGTTCCTGTTTGCGTCATTTCCTCTGTAGTTATGTTTCCACAATTTTCTAAAACACAGCTGATTGTCAAAATAAGAGTTTAAGGTTATTTAAAAACACAGTTTTAATATTTATATTCAGTGTTTTTAGGTATGCTGATTTCACTCACAATATTGTGATTTATTCCGCCCCCTAAAACGTTACTGCGCAACATCGATTTAACTTTCACTTAGTTTGAGTTCATATATATATATGTGGGGCCTGGGAGCTTGAGGGTCCTGAGCAGTATGTTAGCTGTTCCTAGGACTGCGCTCTTCTGGACAGAGATCTCCGATGTTGTTCCCAGGATCTGCTGGAGCGAATGGAGTTCCCATTCGCCTGCAGGATCCCCAAGTACTTGTAACTGTCCTCTATGTCTGCAATGTTGCCTTCTGGTAGTTCAATCCCCTCAGTTCTGACTACCTTCCCTCTCTTTGTTACCACCCGACTACACTTCTCCAGTCCGAACGACATTCCAATGTCATTGCTGTATAGCCTGGTAGTGTGGATCAGTGAATCTCGTTCACTCTTGGCATACAGCTTGATGTCATCCATGTACAGGAGGTGGCTGACAACTGCTCCGTTCCGTAGTCGGTATCCGTAGCCAGTCTTGTTAATGATCTCACTGAGGGGGTTCAGGCCTATGCAGAACAGCAGTGGGGACAGAGCATCTCCTTGGTAGATCCCGCACTTGATGGTGACTTGTGCTATGGGCTTGGAGTTGGCCTCCAGTGTTGCCACATTCCCATTGAGTTCCTGATGAAGGCTCTTAGGGTCCTGTTGATCTTATATAGTTCTAGGCATTCCAGTATCCAGCTGTGGGGCATTGAGTCATAGGCCTTCTTGTAATCAATCCAGGCAGTGCACAGGTTGGTCAGTCTGGTCCTGCAGTCTAGGCTGACTGCTTGGTCTGCCAGTAGCTGGTGTTTTGCGCCTCGGGTATTTTTGCCCATCCCTTTCTGTGTCCCGCTCATGTATTGACCCATGTGCCTGTTCATCTTAGCCGATATGATGCCTGACAGGAGCTTCCATGTAGTACTGAGGCAGGTTATTGGTCAGTAGTTGGAGGGGACCGGTCCCTTCTTGGGGTCCTTGGGGATCAGGACCGTCCGGCCTTCAGTTAGCCATTCCGGGTGTATCTCGTTAACTAGCAGCTGATTCATTTATGCTGCCAGGCGCTCGTGGAGTGCAGTCAGCTTCTTCAGCCAGTAGGCGTGAACCATGTCGGGCCCTGGTGCTGTCCAACTCTTCATACTGGAGACCCTTTCTTGGATGTCTGCCACTGTGATGGTTACTGGACCCTGTTTGGGGAGGTCATTATGGTCTGCCCTCAGATCCACTAGCCACTGAGCATTGCCGTTATGGGTTGCGTCCTTCTCCCATATGCTCTTCCAGTATTGTTCTGCCTCCAGCCTTGGTGGTGCTGTTCTCTTATTGTTCCCTTGCCACTGAGAGTACACCTTGGAACAGCTGGTTTATTCTCCTGCCTTCTATCTCTCTGGTGTACCTCCTCAAACGGCTGGCCAAGGCTGTGAGTCATTGCTTGGCAGTTTCCAAGGAATCAGGTATGGACAGCTTCCTGTACTTCTTAGGCACCTTCCTCATCGCGCCTTTCTGCAACTCCGATAGTTGGCTAACCTCCCTCCGTGCTACATTGATCTCAGCCTTGGAGGGTACTGCTCCTTGTGGCTGTTCAACTTGTAGCCAAGCATCTCACTGATCCCTGCTGCCGTATTGTAGTTACCTTCATGATATATATATATATATATATACACATATATATATATATATATATATATATATATATATATATATATATATATATATATATATATATACATATATATCATGAAGGTAGCTTCATTTTATTTCAGATTTCATCCTATACTGCTGTATATATATGTATATGTTTATAGTATGCACAGTATAAATGATTCTTGCACAATAACAACTGAAGAAAACTGTATTAATAAAATAATAAACTGAAAGATCAAATTGGGTATATGAAAGTGAGATAATAACAATAATGCTTCACTCAGAATGTACATTTCATTTGTTGATGTTTTTAAAGTTTTGTTTCTCTAATTGCATTTAATTTGAAATGCTTTCACTGCACTATGAGATTTTTAAAATAAAATATGAAATCATGTATTTTCCCAATAAAATCACAAAGCTTCTAAAAACACAGCAGCAGTTATATACTGTCGTTTACAGATTAAAGTGACAGACAGTATGTTAGAACAAACAGCAGGCTTTACACTTTCATTTAGGCAAAATGGTGTTACCAGGATTTTTTGTTTTGCAATGGAGTTGAAGTGAAGTGTAAAAATAAATAAAGTGTAGAAAATTGGTTCAGAAAAATTGCCGGGCTCATTTAAAACCATTTGCCTTAATTATGGATATTTTACATGAAAAATTATGTTGCACAAATATTTTATACTGATTATCTGTTTTAAGTGATAAAACAAGTATTTACCCAGATAGCAAGGAAACATTGAAACACTGTTGAGTCAATATCAGGCTGTGTCATTGAACCAACGTTGAAATGTGACGTTGACCTAACGTCACTCTTGCACCCTTTTTTAACGTTGAAATGTCAGGTTTTGATGTTGAATCAATGTTGAAACCTGACGTTGATTCAACGTTGTATGTTCTAATACTGCTGACATTGAAACAATGTCAGATTCTGATATTGAAACACTGTTGAGCTATGGTGTTGATTTTCCGCCTCTTTCGCACAGTTGCTTTTTATTAAAACAGTTAAATCATGACTGGAAATCTACCTCTCTTTATAGGTATTTTAACCAATACTAAACTACTGCATGTTTCCATCAATACTTCAACCACCTAAACACATAATTAAGTGTGCCTATGCGAAGGCACACTTATTACTATTGCTCGGATTTATTATTATTATTATTATTCTTTTTCCGCCTGAAATTTTGGACCTTAACTCGCCCCACAGTTTTGAGACAAGGTTCACATATGATATATCATTGTGTGCGGCTGGAGCTGGAATGAGTTGCTATGACTTTTGGTGTTTATTACTTCTATAGTTTTTTAAATATGAATATTTTAATGCAAGTTTTTTCCCATTGAAATGAATGGAGAACAAGAAAACTTCATTTGTGGTGTGCTGGCTCACTCTAGTGGTATGTCGGGAGTAATGCGAGGCGGCCGCTGTGTCCCTGTGGTTGGCCTACTTGTCAGATATCGACAAATCCTACACTACAGACCAGTTGACAGCGTGCAATAACCCAGCCGATTCATTCGTCTTTACACTACCTCACAATTGATTCAACGGTGAGTTATTTGTTTGTTTTGTTTTCTCACAATTAATATAAAGCCAAGGTATATATCAACGGCGCGCACAGCGGAAGTATGGCGTCCCGCTTGCCCTTCACAATAAGAGCATTATAGCGGATTATAATGGGGACGCTTTTATTTTGTATAACTACCGGAAGTAGTTCCTGTGTACTGACGCTAGCTGGGTAGCTAGCGCCGCGTCGCTTAAAAAGCAGCCGGGCTTGTCTTAAACTTAAGAGGCTGACACTCGCTAAACCACCCGATCGCTCGCCAAGCGACTGTTTCACACTGGACTTATTTTTCGTTAATATGGGCCGATAATTCCTTTATTCTAGTGGTATGCCGGGAGTGGTGCGGCCTATTCGGATTAACGTAATGATGACACTATCAACGGCGCGCGTCAGTCCGCCCCTCCTCCAGTTTGAAATTGACCTGAGAAGACACCGTAGCGTAAGCTGGACCCGCATGCATCTGTCCACCTCTCCTCCGTTTTGAAATTGACACTTGAACGTCATTTTCTGAAGTATTCGGAACAACAGTGTAAGGTTTGACAAGGTAAGTGTATCTCTCTCTCTCCGGTTCGAAATTTAGCTTTGAAAGTGATTTTTTAATGTGTCTGGGTGATTCTTTGTCGTGGTCATGTTCGGCCCGATGCTAAAGCTAGTTAGCGGGTATTCAGCCGAGGTCTACAAAATGATGGTATCTACAAATGAGGTATCTACAAAATGATGGTGTGGTTAGCACTTGGATGTAACTTTATTCCAGAGGTATCGTTTGTAATTAAAACTTTTAAGAAGCGAAGTGATTTTTTTTTTTGTATGTGTATCTTGGCGATCGCATTTCACGCCCTTTGTCTCGGTGGTGGCTAGCTAGCGGATATTGAGCATAGGTAAGCCTCTCCGGCTTGAAAATGACTTTGAAAGTGATTTTCTGTGTCTGGACGCTGATATCTACAAAATGATGGTGTGGTTAGCACTTGGCTGTAACTTTATTCCAGAGGTATCGTTTGTAATTAAAACTTTTAAGTGGCGACTGTCGCCGCGTCCAAAACAATAGCTTCGTTGTAGCCGCGTTTCACACCTCTTTTTCTGTTTTTATAAGGCGTTAACTACAGCAGCCTTTAACACCTCAACTCTTGCTTCAGCCAAGGTAAGTGCCCCCCTTATATTTTCTATGTGTGTGTTCAGCTGATATCTAGAAAATTGGTGTGTTTAGCGCTGGATGCCATTTTATTCCAGAGCCGTTGTTTGTAATTAAAACAAAGAGACAAAGAGGAACTTTACTGTTTGGAAGGGAGTAAAGTTCCTCTTTGTCTCTCAGTGGGACATTTCAACCATACAGTACAAGGCTACATTTCAGCTTTACAAGCCAATCAGTTTGCTAATTGTTCTTGTGAGATTTGTTTGCAAAGTTTAAGGTGTT